CTGTAAGGTTCTTTCAATAGATGGCGCTGTATTACAATTCAATTATTTTGAAGCTTGGTTTTCTTTGTAGGTTTCACTTCTACCGTGTGTGATCTGCACACATCTTTTTTTTTTTTATATATAAAAGAATGAATAATAATTTAATAATTTTTTCAAGAAAATAGATTAATTATTGTGACACACACATACACACACTTTGTTAAGTTAAATGTAATTTTGTTGAAAAATTGTAAAAATTTATAAACCTTGATAAAAGTAATTTTTATTTTATTTTACTTGTTATAAATTTGATCCACCATCACCCGTACAGGAATTCACATTATTCTATTCTATTTTTTTTCCTGTGTATTTAAAACCCTATAATTGTTATGTTAAATTGAATAAATTATCAAACACATCATTTTATACATTTGATATTTGTTTATAATTCGATAAGCTGTTTTTATTTATTAAATCAAATCTCATTCTTCTTTTTTTTTTCTTCTCTCTTCATCTATTCAAGTTGTGCATATATGTGCTACGATTATTATTATTATTATGGGAAATAACTTGGAATATCTTAGAAAAAATTGCAACTCGTTGAAATATCACTTATCGTACGAGTTTATATACATAATTGAATAGGCGAGGCTAAAAAAAAAACCTTACGGGTGCAGTCGTTCGTGGAAATCCAAAATAATGAGAGAGATAAGAAGAAAAAGAGGAAAGAAAGAAAATAAATAAAAAGAGATATATACTACACTTCCGGAATCTTCGGAATGTACTTTAGTATAATACTCTAAAAGATTTGAGTAGTATTCAGCAAGGAAAGACTATTAAATTTGTTTTTTATATCTTTGAATACATTTTTATCTTCTTTCTTTTTGTTTTTGTTAACATCCTAGTACTCAAATGAATATTTTGAATAATATCATTGAATTTAATGTAATCACCGTATGTAAATATCATTGCTCATCGTTCTAATTACCATTTATAATTTCATTTAATTTCTATCTTTTTCGGAAATAAATATTATATATTACATAGTTATATAATATTATATATATTTAAATATTATATACTTATTTTTCAAAATATACAAATGCATAAAAAGAGAGAGAGAGAGAGAGAAGGAAATAATAAATGCAAAAGAATTCAAATATTAGGTCGAGTCATAAATAACTTCCGATGCGGCTATGTAGAATCTATTTTTCGTATTTATCTATTCTAAGTCACCGAAACAATCGGATTTTCAATATCACTATATAGATGAGGATTCAGTTAGTCTTCTGTTAACTTTTTTATGCAGTCAATGTTACATTTCACCGTTTTTCTTAACCACTGAAATGGATAGTAAAAAGTGCATATTCGACATGTAATGCTTTAGGAATTGAAACAAGGCAATAGCACTAAAGTGGCAACTGAAAAAATATGCAGCGTATACGGTGCAGGACTGATAACTGATAGGGCAGTCAGAAATTGGTTTGTAAAATTCCGTTCTGGAGATACGATCTTAAAAGATGAACCGAGTGCAGAACGTATTTCCGACTTTGATGAACCTTTTAAAGGTAATATTGGAGCAAAATCATATAAATACGTTCAACAATTGCAAAGAGTGCAAAGAAAACTCAATGAAAAGTGTCTTGTACTTATCAGTCGCAGAAACGCTATTCTTTGTCTCATAAAAAACGGAAGTTATTTATGACTCGATCTAATATTTAAATCTCACACTTACTTTAAATTATATACTGATGATAATACATAAATATAGAAAAATATGTAATTGTACTATTTTATTATCTTTGTCTTTGTTGGTTTGTATTTAAAAAAAAAAAAGAAGAAATAAAAGAAGAAATAAAAAGAACTTTCCTTTCGTAAAAGAGAATCGGTGCATCATCGTCGTCTCGCGTAATTAACCGCAACGATTTTTAGGAGAAATCCTTTCCGATAGAATGCCCGCTTTCTATGATGATGATGATAGAAGTTCTTTACGGAAGTAGAGATAAATAACAAAAAGAAAAAAAAAGAAAAGGAAGAGAAGAATAATACAATACACACACATACACATACACATAAACACACGTGTGGTGAATATTCGACGCGAAATCGTACGATCGAAATCGTCGAGGCAAACTTCCTCTCTTCGTTAAACTTATGCGAATGTTCGTTGATATGAAAAAAAAAGCAAAAAAAAACAACAACAAAAAGAAAAAGAGTTTCTAATCAAAATTAGAAATACGAACATTAACATATACTTATTTTTATAAATCTCATAAATTTCATTTATTACGCGAGCGACTTTCTTTTAAATAAAACTTGAAATTTGATCAAGTCTCTTATATTTTTTTTTTGAAATCATATATTAGCAATAAATAAAATAATATTAGATAAGTTTATCTAATTTCTTTCTTTATACTATTTAATAAATACTTCGCGAATGAACGACATCTATGATAAGTGCTTTTACATTAATTATTCAGGCGCATTCCGATAACGTACGAGTAAAACATTGCTGATGTTCGAGGTCACCTTTTCCTAGTTAGAACTAGGTGTAAGTATGCAAAGGTGTATAGTAAGAAAATAATACTGTGTAGTTATTTAGTATACTCGCGATGTATACACGCGAACGATCACGCACACATGTCCCACCTCCTCCCATCTTCGGGAAGTGTTTAAGATGAAAGAGAAAATTTTCTTCAAAAATAATCCTGTGTATTATGGAAGTCACTTTACTATGTGACACGTGTATATGTGTCTATATATGTGTCTATATATGTGTCTGTATATATAATTTTGTTTTTAAAGTACAATTTTTTATAAACTTACTGCTGTTAATTTTATTTTAATTTTGTTTTCTATAAACTTGAAACATTTCACGCTCGCGACTCTATTTTTTTTATTATTAAATACCAAATTTTTTATTACCAAATATCATCGATCAAATAAATTAATATAATATTAATTATATATAAATTATATTAATTATATTAAAATATTATATATTTATATTATATATATATTATTATTAAAATAAATTAATATTAGGTTGATGAACTATGAATATAATATAACCAACGAGCATCGATATACAACATAGGGGAAAAAAAAAAGAAATGAAATTAGAATTATTTACGGTGTTACTTAACGCTCGCTAAAATGACCGTTAACATACTCCCCCACCTCCTCCTCATCCACCTCCTCCTCTTCATTCTTCGTGAGTTTCTCCTCAATGGAATTCCTTCTTCTCGTCGGTAAAGGAATTCCAAAAGGAATAGAAGATATAAAGAAGAGGTAAACGTTAAGGAAGAAGATAAAGTAGTAGTAGTAGTAGTAGAGAGAGGGGGGTTCCCTTCAGATGTCCTCCTCTCGTTCTTATACGCAGACAAACTCGCGTCTTTTTTGTAACCCGGTTACAAAAGTGCAAGAGATTTTTCGTTGAAGAATCAACAACAACCAAACGGATCGATACGAATTCCCGTTTTGCCGATAGTTTTCTCTCTTCTCTTCTCTTCTCTCGTCGACCTTAAAAGACTCGCGCACGTTTGAGGAGAAACTCTTTCGAGGAATCCTGTCAGTAAGATTCCTCCTCCTCTCTCTCTCTCTCTTTCCCTCTGCCTGACATCTTTCGAATCGTTCAAGTAAATATCTTTCTACGTAAAGTTCTCTCTTCTCTCTTTTTTACCCCCTCTCCCCTCTTTTATTCTCACTCACTTACTTACTTACTTACTAACTTGCTAACTTACTTACTTACTTACTTACTTAGGTTAGTGACGAACGTGTGCTTACGAACGCGAAGCAATTGGAGCACGATAAAGGAAAAAAGAAGGAGGCTACAACATCGACGCAAGGTCAGATTCTTCTTCCCACCCTAGCCGATTCCCTCTCCCTCCATCACCACCCCCCCCTAAGAGTGAGAGCCTCCTCAGCCTACCTCTCTTTGCTCGCTTGCTTGCTTGCTTGCTTTCTTTCTTTGCTGCTACTCTTGGAGAACGCGAGAAACAGCAGCAGCAGCAACAGCAGCAGCAGCAAAGCCAACTACACGTTCTTTCAAAATACTTACGCGTTTTCATAATCCTTGTTCCTCCTTTGACCGAACCGTATCCTCTTCTATTACCTGCAACATCCTGTGTGTGTGTTTTTTTTTTTTTTTTTTTAAGGAGACAAATGTTCACTTCTAACGAATGATCAGATTTTTTTTTATCTTCTCGTAATCATCGATGTTGAATAATAAAACATAGAAACAAATTCTTCTTCTTCTTCTTCTTCTTCTTCTGATTGACTTGTGTGTATCTTCCGGTTACGAGTCCACGATGGTTACGACCGTGCGTTGAAATCACCGAACGTACCGAGTGTATGTAGTCCAACTAAGTATCCTACTATCTCTTTTTAACTCGCACCGAAATTAGTCTTTTTAATTCGCACCACTTTCTTCCCGCATACCACAAGCCGTCGTACATGAACAACAAGTTCGAATTAATGAAAAACAGGAAGGACAAAAATACGGAAGGTCGTGATAAAAGAGAGCGTGTCTCCAATACCAAGCAACTAACCAGACACCTGTCCTGAATCGAAGTGTTTGATCTATCTAGGACAAAGATGCGGTTCGACGTGTTTTCTTAAAGGGCCTTCTCTCTTCTTACGTGCATGCGTGCGCAAACTTGCCCTTCTTTTCTTTTAAACTTTCAACCGTGAATTAAAAACTTCCAGACAATAAAATGGTCAGAGTATAAAATCGAACGAAAAAAAAAAATTGTAAAAAAAAAATATGAAAAGAAAAAACAAATAATAAAATATTAGCGAACGATCACACGGACAAGTTATAAACGAGACGATTAAACTTCTAATCGTCCACCTGCCTTCTTCGACGTTCCGAGAAGGTCTGAGGTGAGAGGGACGGCCATTTTGAGGTATCACGGTTAACGCAGGTGGCGCTACGATTCGAAAACCCGTCCTCGGGAGTGGTATGTGTTATGATCACTCTCAAAGAGACAATCGTCTCGTAAACATCATCTAACGTTTACCTTTCTCAATGATCTAATTTTCCCCTTTAATTCATCCTCATTCTTACCTTCCTTCCTTTCGTCCTTCATTCCTCCTTCTTGCTTTCCTTTCTATCTACCTACCTACCTTTGCTCGGTTGACGATGAAAGTCAAGAAAAAGTGGATAATCCCCTTTGCAACTCCCTGTTACTTAATTGAACAGATATCATTTTCAATTTTTATCAGGGATTCCATTTATTTCATTGATCTTGTTTTTTTTTCTCTTTCAGCTAAGTTGATCATCGATCCCTTCATCGAACACCAAATAAAAACGGTATTCTGAACGCAACGCGTAGGATTTGATCAACACCTACATTGATTCTTCCTACATAAAAACTGGATTACGTATAAAACACCCACCCATATTTTATGCAAATTTTTTTCCTAATTCTTGCTTGGTGATATGTAAAATTGTTTTATAAATATATGTTATGTTTATTTCATGTTACATTTCTTTTACATTACATTGTATTCCCATTGAGAGTAACATTCAGTCGTTTATATTAAAATATCGATGACAACGATGTAATGCGTTTTGAAATAAACTCGTACCAATTTAACCATAATCTTTCTCATGACATTTCCCTTTAGAACACCAACCAACATGCCGTTCTTCTGATCATGACGTGTTTACGATGCGATCTTTCTCACGAACGTGTAACGTTCAAGATTCTTGCGGTTAGACCAGAGACCACAATAAGCAATTAACAAGAATGATCAGCAATTCTTCTCAGTGACTTTGAGACACTAGATTTTACGGAATTTTATTAGTATCCAAATTTATACAATTGTAATAAAAAAAAAATAGATATCAGGATTATTCTTAACGAGATCAAAATTGTTCAAGAATACAATCATTTCAATTAAGAATAAATACATTCGTCCCATGACACAGATATGTGTGTGTGTTTTCTAATTACAATTGATTTCTAGAGAAGAACAATAAAAATACAATATGCGTTGTATTTTATAAAATTGAAATAATTATACTTGGAATTGTAGATTTTAACGAATAAATATAATACATTATTTATTATATTTTGTTTGAAAAATTCTATTCAATTAAAAGTACATTTAATTAAAACTTTATTATAATATTAATATAATTTTACAATAATATAATAAATATAAAATAAAAAATTAATAATCTAATAAAATAAATATATTTAATTAATATAATATAATAAATATAAAATAAAAAAAATAATAATGTAATAAAATAATTATATTTAATTAATATAATATAATAAATATAAAATAAAAAAAATAATAATGTAATAAAATAAATATATTTAATTAATATAATATAATAAATATAAAATAAAAAATTAATATTATAATTAAATAAATATATTAATTATTATTATATACTTTAATTAAACTTAGCTTCAATTAAATTTATCTTTTACTTATCGGAAGTATCGTAAAAAAAAATAAAATAAGAAAATCTGACGAATTCAAAACCGATCATTCACCTTAACCGATCATTTGAAGAGACTTGTCCTCACAATTTAGAAGAAGAAAAATAAAAAAAAGATAGAAAGATTTTGTATAATACGTTTTGTTTCGAAGTTGTTCGTGATATATTTACGCGAACGGGGAGACTCCTCCGGTAGAGGAAAGGATCGGTGGCATCGGTCCAGCAACCACGTTACGGAAATAGATTTCGGCGCTGTTGGTAATGCAACGGGGCTTTTTCTCTTAGGCAAAACGTTAGACCTCGTCAAGAATAAGACGATCAGTAACGCGTCGGCCAGTTCCCGAGGAAAATACCCGGAGCAACGATCATTCGGACTCCGTGAACAAAACACATGAACGTGAGTGTTGAATAAAACGACCACAATCCACAACCCCTTCAAACTTCAAACAAAAAAATCCTCGATGATGATCATTATAAAAAGTGATTTTGATAAAATACGATGACTGATATTTTTTTTTTTTTTTTTGTTTTCATTGACACGTTATTGTGTTTACGTAATATGTGATTTTTTTTTCTTCTAAACAAAATTACAACATAAAAATTATAATAATATTTAATGGGGGTGGGGGGTTAAAATTTTGACGCGAATATTCGTGAAAGTTTTCCACATAAGTTCGTGTAAATATAAGCGAGAATAGAACGACTCTGCTCTATTTTCGTCCAGTGCATCGTACCGAAGGAAAGAAAGAGAAAGACAGAGACAGAAATTCAACGTCAAGCTGCCTAACTTCTTATTTTTGCATATTTATTTGTATTTTTTTTTTCTCTTTTTGTTTTTTGTTTTTTTTTCATTATCGTAACAGTCATTGATGGATTTACTTTAAACGTTTAACAAAATTTTATTGGAATACAAAAGAAAAAAAATGCATTATTATTGGCGTACATTAACTTGTCCGTGGTTCTATCTAGAATTTGGAATAATTCCAAGTTGCTCGGGCTTCAAGTAATTTCATCAAGAGAGAGAAGAGAAACAATTCTCGTCAAGTACTTCTACTTTTTTTTTTCTTTCTTTTTTTTATTTTTTTACCGTTTTCGTTGCTAATCAAAGATACGGTGAGTCAGAAGACAACAATTTGTTCCATGCTGCATAGTTTTGCAAAGTAGACAACAAAATGACAATAAAGTTTTTCTTATTTCATGTTAAAGAATTTATGGTAAACTAGTAACAATTATTATTATAGTAGAGTAATAAAAAACAAAGATTTTATGAAACTTTTATTAGACCTATCTACGACGTTTTGGCCCGGGAAAATTTGTTTAGTCGATCCAAAACAGTGAACAAAAGAGACAGCATCAGCTTAGAAAGAAAATAGATGAAGTAAAACGAGTATCTTTGGTTCTAAAGATATCATCTAATTCGAGAATCTAATTCACACGTTGTTACGAATATTTTATAATACGAGTGTAGCACGTTTTTACGATAAAAAAAAAAAAGAAAAAATATTTATTACGATTTGATACGTTAATAAATTTATTACGAATGCTTCATTCATACATATTACGTAGAAATAATTTCTAACACGTGTCCCAGAATACATAGACTAGAGGAATGTTTTGTCGCGAGATGACGACACATTTCATTTTTATTTTTGGACCCGGAACACAGACATTTTTCCGTCATTGACCACCATCCCCCCCTCTTCTCCTGCAAATATTACACGACTATCAAAAAAAATGGGCGTTCCCTTTAACATCCGGTATTGCAAAGAAGAAGTATGAGCTAAGTTAACTTTCAACACACATCTATTTTCTTCTAACGAAATTTGCAGAATCCGGGAGGTGAAAAATGGCGGCCCATGGCCATCTCGAATCCATCGACTCGATTGCGTATGGCACGGACCATGCCCCATTGGGTATTGGTACGTTTTAATAAAAGCACTTTTTAAACATTGTTCAAAATTCGATTAGTTTTTAATAATTTTAATATAAAATATAAAAGGCACAACAACAGAAGGATACGGAAGAACAGAAGGAACGAATACCAACCCCACCAAAGATACCACCACCTTCCCTTTCCGGAGATTGTGGTGACCCAGATTACGAAATCATCGAATTCCCGATCCGAGGAACACCCCAGAAAACAAATCCAATGTCGAGTAACAACCTAACGTCGTCCGTTATGAAGCATAACAAATGTGCATTATGCGGTACAGAAAATGTTTTTGCAAGATGCGACACCTGCAAAGAGAATTATTGCGAAGCATGCGATGACATGAATCACAAACATCCCAAGAGAAGGTCTCACGTTAGAAGGAGGATCATGACTGAGACTGCTGCTAAAAATCGACCACCTTTACCACCAAAAGGTGAAAATCTAGCTGGTCCACCTCCCGTACCACCGCCCAGAAGAAATCGCAAAAGCACTCAGGTAGGCGGCTGTATCCTATCCTAATTCCTGATAATCCTATTACAAAAATATAATTCCTTTGAAAAGAAAAAAACCCTTCCACAGACTATTTTTGTCCATTTTATTTCCTTTCCACACAACTATTTATCTTTTATCGATTATTCCTTAATTCCAAATACTATCTGCAGATACCTTTAACCCTTTGAGTGCTGAATACTTTTTAATTCAAATGTTTTGTAGAAACGGAATAAATATAAATTATTATTAATATTATATAATTAATATAATTAATATATTATATATTACAATTAATATAATATAATATTAATTTAATTAATTAATATTATTTTAAATTATTTTACATTAATATTAATAACAAACACTTATATACGTCAATATTACCACCATTTGGTAATTTTTATCAAACGCATATATGTGTCCATAGCACTCTAAGGGTTAATTATAATGAAATATCTTTATACATAATTTATAAACTCGTATTACTACTACTACTACTGCTACTATTACTATTATTATTTTGAGAAAACGTTCACGTTTTATTAATTCATTGTCACTACCAAAACGTCACACCGAGGTTACGAAGATTGTTTTGATTACCCTTAGATATTTTATTTATCGTTACATTGTTTTACAGATTTTATTGTAACAACCCTCGTATTGTTTTTTCTAATACACCATGTTACCGAAACAGATGACTGCCGTATTCACTGAACCCGTTCTCTCACACTCACTCTCTCTCTCTCTCTCTCTCTCTCTCTCTCTCTCTCGCTCTCTCTTATCACCATTTCCGTTTGAAGGTAACGGCGTGGAAAAGAACTTTATCAAAGTCATCATCAAATATAAAAAAAAGAAAAATAAAAAACAAGATAAATCAAATTTCAACGAAGATATCAATCGTTACGTTGAAACAGTGAATATGGCAGGTTAGGGTTAAAACACCAGTAACACAATCATTTTTTTCATTAAAACCATTTCGTTATCTTTTCCGTACCGTTACTGGTACCACACCAGTTCCTTGATTATCCTAAATCTTCCTACAGGATAATATTTTAATACTTAGAAAACATTATACCTATATTTGAATTATTTGCAGCATCTGTCCATCAATAATGTTTCTCGTTTTATCGAATAAATTCATTTGCAGCGTTTAAAAAAACAAATAAAAAAAAATTAATTCGTAGGAGTCGGGGGGGGGTGCATTTCTCGTTTAAAATCCTTCTCATCCTGCGTGATCCAATCGTAAGCGAGTTTATATTAATTCGAAAAAAAAAATATTCTATGTAAAAAGAAAGGCAAAAAAAGTACAAAAATTTGGAAAATGTGAAAATTTCTACAAGGTGTAAGCTAAAGTTTCGCGCTTAGGCCAAACTCACGCAGAATCAAGGAGCTACGAATCGATCATTGATCGATAAAGGTGGAAGTACCAAGAGAAGTGATCTTTCCAACACTAGTGATGGATCATCCATGACAACTAGGGACACTAATTTTCAAGGATCGAAGATTACACGATCTACAAATAATACAACGATCGAAGGATCGGGATCGAGTACCGACAAGATGTCTACTTTACAGGTATACTTTATTTTTATTACTTTGTCAAATTCATTTCATTTCAAATACTGAAAATATTTCAGGAAAGATACAGAAGATACCAGGAAGCAATGAGAGCACAAGATGCAAATCGACGAAGACGTACACCATCGGATGCTTCTTCAAGAGACACAACCAGTTCCAGGCCAGTAAGCATTGGTAGTAATAAAGGGACACCATCTTTACAACATCAACAACCATTACCACCACCACCACCACCTCCCAGATCAATGATGCAATCTACAAGCGTGTGTGATCTATCAGCACCCCATATGTGGAATCTTGGAATGCATCAGGTTGTTCATGTGATTCCAAACGTATAAACATGGATTTAAATATCAAACGGGTAGATTATATAGATTGAATTTTATATTAATTTTAGGCACAATCTATGGCACAATTAAGTCCAAGTGGAATGCCATTAATGTGGTACCCAACTAACAATCCTTGGGATGGTTCGATCAGTGGTTCAACTTTGAGTTTAAATCATCCACCAACACCTTTATGGGCATATCCCATGGGATATCATCATCCTTCTCAAATGTTACCGCCCCATTATCCAGGAACTTTATCAAGGGCTCATAGTCCAGCTAGAAGTTTAAAATCACATAACAGAAGATCAAGACCACCATCACCATCACCTAGTATTAAATCACGAAAGTCTATCGTTTCTAGATCGAGATCAAGAATTTCCCCAGGATCACCTTCCGATGCTAGTTCAGAAGATTCTGAGGAATCTGATTTTGATGATAGACTTTCTTCACGTGGATCCAGAAGCATTAGAAGGGGTAGTAGCGTTTCAAGAAGTAACAGGCAGAGAAGTTATCAAGATAATGATTCTTCTAGGAATTTGTTAGCTCGATCACGTCGAGAGTAAGTTGTTTATAGTATAATAATAATAATTATGTTTTACACTATCAGCTAAAAAGGTATTAAATATTTAAGTGAATTTACAAAAATTAATTAATTCGGAATAAATCAAGTAGTGTTTCAAATAACAAAATTCAAAGATAGAATGTTTAAATAAAGTTAATGTTAAATTAAATATTCTTTTATGGAAGTTGGTAAAAAAAAATAATTTATTCGAAGATTAGCAACAACCAATCCATGATGCATACATAGGGTTGCATATTGTTAGGGTTGCATATGCATTTGATGCATAAGGTCTCTTTAAACCAAGTTAATGTTGAATTAAATATTCTTTTGCAAAAGTTGATAAAAAAAATAATTCCAAAATTAGAGTAAATGGTTTTGTTATTAGCAACTACCAACCCATGATGCATAGCGTTGCACATGCATATGATGCATCCTATAACCCTTATTATTTTTATAAAAATTACCAAACGAACACTTACTTGACTGATAGTGTAAAACATTTTTAATTTTAATTGTATATTAACGATGGTTGGTTTCAATTTGGTAGGAGGTTAACATCTGAAGATAGGATGACCAGCAACGAGGAACAATGGTCTGAAAATCAATCGAGCAGACGTTATTCGATGTCCTCATCTACTCGAGGTTACGAGGATTCACGTAGTAGGAACACAATAGATTCTCGATTGAGAAAAATTGAAAATGGAAGTTACCGTGATGATCAACGACGTGAATCAAGGCGTAGACATAAAAGTACGGACGATGAATTGTCCGATAGAAAATCTAATCCGACGATGACAACAGGTAAAACGAGAATCACCAGTTCTTCGGATGATCATTTTGAAAGATCGGATGATAAACGTACGAGTTTGTTTTACAACGATGAGGAAGAGGAGGAGGATGAAATATTATCGAAGAAAAATTCATTTCGTGGAAAAATCAAAGATGACGATTCGAGAAGATCTGTCGATCAGAAACTTTCCAGAAAAACTTCAATCGAATTGGATACAAAACATTTGGATTTGTCTCGTAATTCAACCTTGAAACGAGACATGGCGGATTACGAATCATCTGAACGTTATTCATCACGTTCTTCTATTAGAAATGAAAAATTAAGAAACATATCTTCCAAAAGAAGAACATCGTCCTCGTCGTCCTTTAAAAAAGAAGACTCGGTTGATCAAACGTTAGAAAATGATACGAGAAAGATGTTATTACGAAAAAAGGAAGAAGAAAATGATAGGATACCTCCTACAAAGAATAAAAGTTCAGATCAAGGAACCCAAGTGATCAAAGACAATGACAATTCGATTGAATTAATTGAGAAAATATCTAACTCAAATAACAAGGATGCTACCTTGAGAAAATCTCGTGAAAAAAATGTTAAAGGTACAATCGAATTACCCAAAGATGAATGGCCATGTGAACATTGTACATTCATTAACAAAATTACTGAAAAAGTTTGCGTGATTTGTTGCAAAACCAGAAGCAGTGCTTTGCCACCACCTGATGAAAATACATCAGAAAATAATGAAACAAACATTGAAGAAATTTCACGAGCTATTGAAAATGTTGACAAACAAGTGTCCAATAATAACAGTGAAGATCCTAATCCTGATTTGGAAAAGAAAACAAATCTATTGAAAATTTCTAATAGCGAGGAAAGTGGTGACAGTGGATCTGCTAAGAACAAAGGTAGAACGGGACGAAAAATCAGCTTTTCTTTTGGTACCAAGTTATCCAAATGACATTGAAAATATTCTACGGTGTTCTCGTTGTTGACCAATTCAATATTTTTTTTATTTATTTTTTTTTTATTAATTATTATTTAATTAATAATAATTAGACAAAGACCCAGACCCCGTTCCTGAACCCCACCACTGTTCCGTTCAATTCTCGAGAGATTTGAAAATGTTTCTAATTATTTTTTTATCGTTCTTCTTCTAATCAATGATTAAATCGATCGATTTCATTGTTCCTTATTATCGATCTACATATGTGTATCCTTGAATGAATAATAAAGAAGCATGCAAAACTGTTTCTCACACGTTTATCGTGGAAAGTCAAATGCGTAAGCGTATTTGAAATTTCACTTTTTTATGCTCAAACAAACATATTTATATTTATTATTATTATTATTATTATTATTATTATTATTATTATTATTATTATTATTATTATTATTATTATTATTATTATTATTATTCATTCAAGTTTACGTTCAATCAAATTTTATTTCAACAACGAATACGCATTTGACTTGTGGATATATTTTCCTTTACTCCAAAAAAAAAATAAAAACAAAAAATAAACAAAAACAAAACAACAAATTAAATACAAAAAAAATTAAACGAACAAATTTTAGGAAAATTTGTTATTTACTAAAATTGCGAAAAATGTTACATCAAATGTTATCGATGTTGAAATAAACGAATGATTGAAAATAAAATGACAAAAAAATTATTAAAAAAAAAAAATAACAAAAAAAAACTAATTTCATATGGGAATGCAGTTGTTGTTCAATTTGTTACAGATGTAAGAAGCCTGGCAGAAAATTCGACAGAAATAATAAACGATGTTAAATTATCGGAAGAAATTGCAATTAAATTTGATAAAAAAGAAGATGAAAATTTAAGAACTCAGACACCATCGAGCACTTCAACAACATTATCCTTGTCAAAAGGAACAACTCCAGAAAATATTGATGAATCTGTTCGACAAATTCAACAAAAATTATTTCAATTGAATGAAATAAACGAACAACAAACTCGTAAAGTTTCAACTGGAACTTCTCCACCACCTCAAAGTATCTCAACTCAAGTAAGCTTAAATGAAAAAAATAAATATTCCAACATTTGTTTATCGATAATACTTAACTAATACTTACTATGTTAAATAACAAAAAAGAAAATATAAATAAAAAAGTGACGATTAATTTTTTTAATTTGTAAATGGCAAAAGATAATAAATGTTTCAGACTTACGATTATCTTCCACGTGGTGGTAGTGGTACACTACATAGATCATTGTCAACTTCTAAAGGATTTTTATCTTACGAAGATAGCGAGGCAGAGGTAAAAGATTAAAGCACACCTGAACTTTCATCCGTTTTTTATTTTAATTTATATTCAAATATTAAATAATTGAAATTTAATATAAAAAATTGTTCTCCCAATTGAACGGATGAAAGTTAAATTGATTAGATTAACCATTTCGTTACTAATGACCACCCTATATATGAATCGTCCCATACATGAAATTACAGATACCCATAAAAATATATATAAATATATTTATATATTATTATATTATTTATATATAATATATTATTTATATTATTTTGTATTTTATCTATATTATTTTATTTTATATTATTTATAATATAGTATTTTATATTATATTTATATTATATTATTATATTAATATTATATATATATATATAATTATATTATAATATATAATATAATTTTTTTTATATATTATAATAATTATATATTTAATTGAATTATCATTGATCATATACAATATACAATTACATAAATAATTTATGCAGAACGATGCAGGTTGCATCAAATTACTTTGCAGTATAACGAAAGGGTTAAAAAATAAAACCTTTGTCAACGATACATACCACTCATACACCAATGAGACATAATTTATTCATGTTATTAAAAAAAGCATTACGAAGCATATGTTACAGGAAGCAAACCGATTTACAAATAGTCCCGATCTTTATCCGAGAACAATACAAGAACAATATCTACGTCAAACGATATCAAGTCAATGCAGAGATCGTACACGAAGAAATTCCATCGATTCGAGCCATCTTTATTATCGATCTAGGGTAATCTCTAAGTACAACCTAATTGCTTAACATTTATTTAGCGCAACATGTATTGTTTTTTTTTCTTATTTATGCTAAGTAATTGATAGTTTTATTTTTAACCCAACAGAAGATTTATTCTAACAACTTTGTGTCCTCGGTGTGAACGTAGGTAGGCAAGGACAATAATCCTACTATTCCTTCATTTTATTTTTCATTACTTCTATACACATATATATATGAATTATATTTATGTTTTTATATGCAATAAATTATTACACTCATAATCTTTAATTTTTTAATTAAAGAACATCATCATCATCATCATCATCATTACACGTGTTAACCCGAATGAGTTCCTTTTTTTTTATTTTCTTTTAAAAAATACTCAGATTATTAAAGCTTGGCCCGCTTTTTTATTTAAAATAAATCACAAATATTATCTAATTATTAATTAATATTTGGTATCATATACAGGAACCAAGTCAACCAAGATACATTACAGAAGCAGGTCCTAGTACGTCATCTCAAGGAGTATCCACGTTGACTCGTCAAGGGTTAGAAATTGTCGAACTTTTGCGAGAAGCTGAAAGACAAGGATTTTCGACAGACGACGTACAAGTTGCCCTATCACAAAATGCATCCAATCCTTTGGAATGGTTAAAAACACAATGGCCACATTCCATTGAAGCTGTTCAAATTTTGGTAAGCACTCAAGGAAAGGAACAAAGGGAAAATAATATCGGTGTCATTTCTGTCAACGAAGCTAAGGATGCATTGAGAACATGCAAAGGTGACGTTTGGAATGCTGTCACCATTGCTGCTCAACGTAGACAACACAAGGTACAATGATTTTCATTATGACTGCCACGTCAGTCATAAATGATTGACACTGAACTTCCAGTTCAAACCGTGTCAGGCATTTGTATCTGACGTTCAACTCTTCGTTTTGCCATTCAACTTTGCATGGCCTGACGAAGATTTCCATAAGAATTCTCGTGGCGTTCAACGTGATTAACAAAAATTTATTTCTTTACAGACGGCAGAAATTTTGACAAAGGGCAATTTTACAATGGCAGATGTTGTCAAAGCACTTGATAATAATGACGGCATGGTAGATGCGGCATTACTCGAATTACAAAAAAATCAATTGAAACCATTTTTAATGAGGATTTGGGGTCCTCCGGTTGGGGTTGAAAACGATGGGGCTGCACCACAAGGAGGTCAGATTTATTTTATTTTATTTTATTATACAATAAAATACATTATTAACACATTGACAGCCGGTCCCGCGAAAACGCGGGTTTCTGAGACTGTCGCTTGAGCGCCGGCCCCGCGAAAAAGCGGGTTTCTGAGTTTGTCGCTTGAGTAGCTGCCCCACGATGATGTGGATTTTTTTTTGCTGGTATGAGTGTCATACACATCGATTTGTATTTACTTGCCATGGTTACGCCGATCTTCATTTGTTATACTCTAAAGACAAAACATATACGATGGTTCAGAAACAATCCAGGCAAGAATCACTCTCGTGCAGTGTATTATACTGTTTCAAAGATTTTTTTTGCTATTCAATGATCAGAAACAAGCGAATAAGGCCAGCGTTCGGGGTTTAAGTGGCCGATACGTTGCCGGCGCTCAGGCTTTTAAATGTCTCTTAGGTCGCCGGCTGGCAATGTGTTAAAATTGTAAAAATTGGTTATTTTACTCTCTGTAATAATAATTAATGTGTTTATTTGTATTTGTAGTAGATGCGGCAGGTATAGTTGGTGGTGCAACAAGGATACTCGAACAGATAACCAATGTTACGGATACGGAGGCGAAGAAGCAGGTAATGTCACCAATTATTGACAATTTCGTCGCATTGCAGACCGACTTTACGAAACAGCTGGCGGCATTAAGACAAATGAGATATAATTGGGAATACGAGAAAGACCCTCTAAACAATACTCAAGGTAATAATTCGGTTGATTTGCTCGGCAGCTCGAACAACGAAGATCCAACAACCATCATCGACGAAATCCTATTACCAAAATCTCCAAACAATAATATTAATATGAATTTAATACCTAATGATATTGGATTAATGGAAAATAACAAGGATGATAATGATGATGATGATGATCGTAATAATCAATTGGATGTTAATTTAGAACTGAATCAATTAATTGAAGAAAAATATGACAATGATGCAAATGGGAGATTGATGAATGATAAACAATTGGAATTAGTTGAACAGAATAAATCTAATAATAAAAATTTAACGAATGAATCATTGAAAGAAATAGAAACTTTTGATAAAGAAAATCAAAATAATAATTCTATTCATACCACAATAATAACTTCGAAAGAAACCATAGTAGTTGCAAATGAAAAAGATGATTTCAATTTGGAAAAATCAAATACGATAGTAGAGAAATCCAATGATGATATGAAAGGAAACATTGATAATAAAAAAATGACCAATGAGAATGAAATATCTATGAGTGAAAATAAAATACAACAACAAGAGATGGACGATGGAAGATTTTTACGTAACGAAACTTTGCCTGAGGCTACAAAAAATATTTCTCAAGAACCTTCTACTTCCTCTTTCTCCATTTCAACCTTCTCATCTTCCCTTCAACAAGATACAATCATCGAAATGGATTTAAATAAAATAAATGAAACATCCAATTCTTCATTGAACGAAGCAACAAATTTAGAAATAAATACAAATGTTTTATCAAACAATAATCAATCTAAAACTATAGAATTATTTATGTCAGCTGTTAAATCATTACCTGAACAAATGATTGGTCCATTTGTAGCAGCTATGAAAATGTTGTCACCTAAAGTTTCGATTAATAATATCGATGACAATGAAAGCAATGATTTAAACGATACATTGGAATCGATTATTGAAAATAATCAAAATGATGATGTAAGTGTTACGAACAATGGGGAAATAAAAAATATCAAATCCACAAAGGATGATGACGATGAAAAAAATCAATCCAACGATAATAATGCATTAGAAAAAAAAACTAACGAAAATAATAATAATAAAAAATCATCGATCGTTTCAAATGATAATGAAATGAAAAATACAATTTCTGAATCATCCGCAAAAATTACTTCGATCGATAAAAAAACAATTTTAAACAATAACGAAATAAAAAATACATTTGTCGAATCAAACGATGAAAAGAATGAAAATCAATCGATCGAAAATAATGAAATGAAAAACACAAGTACCAAATTGACAAATGAAACGAAAGAGAATCGATCGATAGATGAAACTTTATTATTCAACGATAACAATATAAAAAATACTATCGAATCGACAAATATAAATGAAAATAAATATATAACGAAATCGAATAATGTAAAAATGACGACATTAGAAGAAGAAAAGGATTTGAATGATGAACAACTGAAGGATTTTCGAGGGGTAGGTACGGATCAAATTGAATTTAATATTGCGCTAACTAACATGGCACAAAGCACAACGATTACAGATCAAACTTCAAACCTTTTTAAGGATGACACATCATTAACTAATGCACAATCATTGAATCATAATTTTCAATCTCCTACAATCATCGATAAATACGTGGACATGCATTCCGATGTTGTTGTTGTTGTTCGAAAAAACAATGATCATTCGAATACTCAATTGATTCATTTAGAAAATCATTTTCCAATGATCGAACAAACGTTAATAAAAAATAATCAATCGATTAAAATGAAGGATGAACTATCGAATGTAATTTCACGTATAATTAATGAACATTCCAATGAACAAACACATCTCAAAAATAAAACATCGATAATACATGAATCAGACATCAATGCAAAATCATTTTCAAAAGAAATAAATTCCCATAACCATCCCATGATCGATTTAACGTTTAACGATAACAAACACATTGATGAATCTACGAATGTTTCGAAGAAATTAAACGAGTGTCAAAATTTGATCGAATTTACAAACGATTTGATGCTCGATGCACCGATATTGAAACCTACGAAAATATCTTATGATAATCATCAGTCTAATTTAATTGATATTTTTGATATTGAAAATGATTTAGAGAATGATATTTTTCAAGATTCTAACTCGTCTTTTATAAATTTTAATTCTAATCTTGATGAATCGTTAGGATTAGATTCAAATAATAATAATAATTGTGAAAGTTTGGTTAACAATTCATCGTTAAATCAAATCAAATCAAACGTTTCTGACGATGAAAGTAAAATATTAGAAAATATCAATGATGATGATAATAATAAATCGTGTAATTTAATAAATCGTAAAGATACAAGTGTAGAATTTATCAACGAAGTTATTTTATCACCGTTATTAAATGACGTACAAACAATTCAAGAAATGATAACGAATGAAAAACTTTCTTACGAAGAATCATCCCCTTCAACGTTCATTCAAGATTCTAACTTTGATGAAAATTCTTCGAAAATATTTTTACAATCGAATATCAACGATGTGTCACCTGGTATCATAGAAATCAACATATCCGAATCACCGATCATTGCTGTTAATGATTGTGCACCTATCAATGTAACCAATGCAAATTTAGATTCATTGAAATCGAATAATAAAATAATTGATAACATTAATGAGAATTTAAATGATAACGTGAATGAAATCTGTACGAATTTAATAAAACCTATACGAATTAAGGAACGTTCTAAGTCACCTGTTAAAAAAATTATGAGAAGAAAATCACCTGTTAAAATTATTAAGAAAATTGGTACGATTGTACCAAAGAAAGTATCAACAAAAATGAACAATAATCTCGTGAAAGATAAAAACGTGATCGGTGAAACAACGAAGAAAACAATTTTATCGTCAAAAAGTATCACACAACCAATTGAACACAGACACAGATCTAAACAACAACGATCAAATGAACTTAACAAGAAATCAAATAAAAATACGATTAAAACATTGAATGATAATGAAAAGACAATTAAATCAATGAATGAAAAATCTTACGAAATTACAACAAATAAAAAAGATGAAAATGATCGTTGCTTTGATAAAAATAAAACTAAAGCTAAAACTAAAATCAAATTTGTATCAAAAATTCCTATTTTAATTAATTCTAAAGAAAATATTCAAGATAGAACAAAATTGAAAGATAAACCGATTAAATTAAATCATATAATTTTAGGATCAAGTAAATTACCAATTGCTAATAAAACTATTATCAAAACTAATTTGAAAACAACGAGTAGTATTTCGAGCATTGTAACAAATGTTAATAAAGAAATTGTTGAAAAGGATAAACAATCAATTGTAATTAATCGAACAGTGGTGGACAATCAGTCGGATAAAAAAATTGAGAACAAAAACAACGACCAGAACGATGACAATGATGACGATGATGATGACGATGAATTTAATTGTAGAAAGGAGAAAGAAAAATTAGAAACTAAAGTAGAACAACGATCTAATAACAGTAAAAACGGTGATGAATCAGTTTCGAAACACGCTGATGACTATGATGATGATGAAGATGATGATGAAAAAAATAAAGAAGAAATGGAAGAAGATATTTCAGATGTCGAAGGATCGAGTTCAATTTTTGATAGTTCTTCGGAAGAGTCAGAAAATTTTACCGTGCTAATGAGAGAAGTTCCAAAGTCTGGTACGAATGAAAGTAGTAACTTCGAAGACGAGAGTCTGTTCAACGTAGAAGATCAAATAGAAAAGACATTGCAAGCAATAAGAGCAGAATTGTCAAATTACGAGTCTGACGAATTAGAGGAAAACGAGGATTTCAAGGAGGATGAAAAAGATGCGAAAAGGAAAATGGAAAATGAAGATTCTTCTTCTTTAAGTGATGAAATATTTGAAGAAGCGATATCTGGTGGAGAGGAATCCATTCATACGACAAATATAACAAATGTGAATAAAACGGAAATTATTGAAAATAATTTGATAAATAAAATTGTAGAAAGTACATCGATCGAAGAAATTAATTCTAAATCTAAAGAAATGAATAAAATATTAAATACAAAAAAAATAGAAAATAAATCATCGAAGGATGACGATGACGATATTAATAATGATACGAAAAAAATCAATGATGTGAAGAAAAGAAATACGGTGAAAATTGTAAAGTTAGAAAAAAATGTTAAAACGTTGCGAGAGATTGAGAAAAATGATAAAATGAAAAAAAAGAAAGATAAGGAAAATCTACGAGACACGAATGGTAAAAGATTTTCTTTGGTAGCCAGTTGTATTCGTCGATTCGAGGGTGAAGATAAAACTGAAAGGAATACTGCTACGAGAAGAGAGGGATCTCCCAAAACGGAAAGGGAGGTCAGTAAAACGATTAAAAAACAAAATCAAAAAATAAAAAAAAACCAAACCAACAAAACAAAAAAAAAGAACCTGACTCTACTTAATAATCCTAAAAGATGCTGATAGCCCAATGTCTACAAACATGCTCGAGCTAATTCAAATTAGAAGAGTGGCCTGATTTCATTTATTCAATTTTCTTTTAATTATAGTAATAATATAATAATAATAATAATAATAATAATAATAATAATAATAATAATAATAATAATAATTTTCTCTATTTTTATCTCTCCTCTAACTTTTTTTAGGGTAGAATTTATCAAAAGGTAAGTAGAATTCTCCTTGTAACAAATAATTAACACTTTAAACCTGCCATTATAACTAAATTGACGATACTTGTGTTAACCCTTTGAGTGCTATGGACGCATATATGCGTTTGCTAGAAATTACCAAATTATATTCAGAAAAAAAAGCTTTAATTATTAAATATAATTTAGTATTATTAAATTATTCTGTTCCTACAAAACATTTTAATTAAAAGTATTCAGTACTCAAAGGGTTAATAAACATACCCTAGAGAAAGAGTTAAATGTAATAAAAAAAATATTTTAAAAAACAATCGTATACTAAAAGTATTACATGTACCATCTGACCAACATCTTTTCCATACAATACAACATATATGTACATATATTCTTTCATGCTTTCAAATGATATTCTACTTACTTCTATCAAATCGTAATAAACAATCAAATTAATTGAATGAGCTCGTTTCTAGACGTTGGTGCCAAACATTTCTTCTATCTTGCATGATTTTTTACACATTATTTCATTATTTACTTACATTTTCTATCACTCCATCATCATTCTTCTACTAGCTAACTTTGCTGCATGTTCATTAGAAAATTTATATAATTGTCATTATTTTAGAAATTGATCTTTTATCGAATCGTTTAATCAGAAAGTCGTTTAATTTCATATCATTTATGTTAATTCGCAGAGAACGGCGCGTAGATTATTAGCCGAGGGACGTGTATCGAATTATGAAGAGGCCGAAGTAGCTGCCAGTTTATTGGCTCTCAAATTTGGCGATGCAGAAGCTATACATGCTGCCAAAGAATGTGGTAACGTTGAATCTGCTTTAGCATTTTTACAACAAGAATGTGAACTTTGTACTGGACGTTATGCGATGAGTCAGGTTGGTGTATCAACTCTCTACAATACAATTTAATAAAAAAATAAAATAAAATATACTTATAAATATTTTAGATGATATCCATGTTGAAATGCACGCATCGATGTTGCAACGAGTGCGCGAAAAATTATTTCACCATACAGATAAGTGATAGAAATATCATAGACGCCGTATGTCCGTTTTGCAAAGAACCAAATTTGAGGGATGCAAATGAAGACGATGTTCTAGAATATTTTAGTAATCTAGATATTCAATTAAAGTCACTTTTGGATCCCCCAATTCATGAACTTTTTCAAAGAAAATTAAGAGACCGTACTCTCATGCAAGATCCTAATTTTAAATGGTGTATTCAGGTAACGTTTGACATAATTAATATAACTATTTTAAAGTAAGATAAATATTTCATTAAGTAAATTATCTTTTAGTGCTCGAGTGGCTTTTATGCGGATCCGGAACACAAAAGACTCATCTGTCCTGACTGTAGATCTATAACGTGTGCGTTTTGTCGGAAACCCGTATGTAAATGAAAAACAAACGTTAATATTTAATAGTTGTAACAATTAACGTAATTACTGACATTATTGTCCACAGTGGGAAAAACAACACGAAGGTATAACTTGCAAACAATTCGCAGCTTGGAAAGATGAAAATGATCCAGACAATCAAGCTGCTGGTTTGGCAAAACACTTGGCTGACAATGGCATTGATTGTCCCAAGTGTAAATTTCGATATTCTTTATCTCGAGGAGGTACAATTTACAAAAAGAAGAAAAGAAACAAACAAAAAGATAAATTTTAAAAAATTCTTAATATATAAAATATTTTTACAGGTTGCATGCATTTCACCTGCAGTCAATGCAAATATGAATTTTGTTGTGGTTGTGGTAAAGCCTTTCTTATGGGTGCTAAATGCTCAACTAGTCCATATTGCGCTAAACTTGGCCTTCACGCTCATCATCCTCGCAATTGCCTTTTCTATCTACGCGACAAAGAACCCGCACAGTTGCAACAATTACTCAAAGACAACGGCATTAATTATGATACGGAAGGACCGACAGGAGAAAGGAAATGTAAAGTACAATTGCAAAAGGAAACCCCAGGAGGTGTAGTCGATACCATTTGCAATTCGGACGTCGTCGAGGGACAAGCTGGTTTATGCAGGTTGAACATTTGCTTCACGTTCATTTTAACATACACAATTACGCATTAAATATTACATTTTATAAATTAATCATAAAGTGAAAGAGAAAAATTAGGTAAGTTTAAGTGACGCAAGGAGAGTATTCGATAAAAGAAGTCTATTTCCTGCGAATCTCCCAATCCTTTAAATTTAAAACGATCCTAAAAATAATCCTTAATTAATTAATAATCTAATCCTATAATACTAACACGTTCTCAAATATATTCAGGATCCATTACGTCGAGTATCTCGTTCGAAAGATACGTTCGATGCAGCTGGAACCTCTTCCGCTGTTGAATGTTGATGATCTCGAGACTTGCGTTAAACGAAGCGGCTTAAAGCTACCTCCAAATTGGTACGGGCGTGACCCAGAAAACTACAGGAATGATCTGAAGGAGGTAAAAAGAAAAAGGTGTACAAGATACGACTAACATCTGGGTACTTTTCCCCGCAGGCAGCACTACATTGAATACTTGGCGGGCCTGGTACTCAAAAACAAGCTGGACCCTGTTGCCATCTTTGACTTGAACGACGCCAAGCAAGAGTTGCGCCGACGGGGAAAAGTTCCCCCTGCGAAGGACCAGGAAATGTCCGAACAGGATTATCTCCAGGCGTGTATTCAGGTGACTAACAATATTCCTATCCTTTCCTTTCACCTTAATCCTTCCTTCGATATTAATCTAATGTAAATAAAAAACATAGATATTATACTTAAATTAATATACTAAAAATTAAACTAACTTTATTTTTTTATTCGTCAAAAATGAACTTATATGCTTTCGCATATACTTTTCTTTTTATATTTATTTATTATTTACATTAATCTTTCATATTAAAGTTATCCATACCACATGGATGTATTACTATTTTACAGATTGTACAAAAGGAAATTCCACTGGAATAATAGGAAATAAAGATGCGAATGAACCTTCAAGATTCTAGACAAAATCTAACTTCTACGTATTTTAATGCTATCATTATTATTTACATATTTTATCAGCCGCATGTAGGAAGTAATACAATACTCAATAAATTACTATACATATAGGTATAAGCCGTCGTTTAGTACAATAGGATGAGAGACAAGATTTTTCATTTATTTTATAAAAGTTCTTTTAAAAAATTTGTTAAACTCTTTCTATTAGGTGGTGTCGTACCTTGATTTACTATACCTTTCAATTTATTTATATTCAATTTCTTTACCTTTGGTTTATTTAAAGTCATTTTAGATTGATTTCTGTTATTTGTTACAAGAGTTTTTTGACTTTCACTAGATTGTAATTTTGGAGTTAAATTTCCAGAAATATTTAATCCAACCGATCTATCTCTTCCTTTTTTCTTCTTTTTTTTCTGTTTAATGTTAGATTTCTCTAATACATTGTCACAAGTCTTAAGTATTTTTTTCGGTTTAGTAAATCGTACCTTAGTACAACGCATACATGCAAAACATTTTATAGACATTTTATTCATTTCATTCTTTTTGCATTTTTTAATTAATTTAGCTTGCAGTTTAGATATCTTGTTCTCATCGGTATTAGTTTTAATCATCTTACCAACAGAACGGGACATTTTTTTACCAGGTAATATTCTTACTTGATGATTTGTAGTAACCCAAAGCGAACCGCAATGAGAGCACATCGTTGAAGGACCAAAATATAATTTTGGTAATTCAACTTCTTTAGATAAATTTCTACAACATTCTCTAAAAATATATAATTTGATTTAATTTTATTGTAATCATAAATAATGAAAAAAAGGTTATGTTTGAACTTACATATAATGGTTCTGTAATTTTTTTGCTTCTGGACATTGGAATTTTGTTAAATATTGAGTTACATTCCACAAGTGTTCAACCTTTTCCATGATTATCGGTTTAACACTTAATTAAAACAACTTCATTAAAATTTGAATCGAAAATTTAACACATTACTAATAAAAAACTCCCAGATGCACATAAATAATAACCTCGTAAACGTCAGTGACAATCAGCGATACCAAGCGTGAGATTTTTCCCCACGCATGCGCACTTATCTAGCCTACGTACGCACACTTACTTACCATGCGCATGCGCTCGAAGGCTCCCACGTGGGAGAAAATCTCCCGTCTTTAACATTACTGCTATCCGTGCGAATGCAGTCGCTAGTGATTATAAAAAAAATCCAACAGATGGCAGTAGAATTTGGAAGATTATGCAACAGTGTTTTTATTTTCTTACTATATCTCTGTTAATTTTATAATGAAAAATTATAATGAAAATAGTAGTATAACAATTTTTAAACTACAAATAGATATATATATATCGGGTTCATGTATGCTCATAAATCTATATATATATATATATATACAATATAAACTTGTAAAAATATAATAGAAAATGTTTTTAGCTTATTATTTTCATTAATGTAGAAAATATACATTACGGAGTAAAATGCAATTTCCCATATATTAATTGGCTCTCAATAATAACTTTAACTTATTTCTTTTCTTTTTTAAACTTTCCTTGATTTAATATTATGCACTGAAAAATTTATATTTCTATATAAATAATAACGTTAATGAATAAAAAATTTTATTTCATTAAATGAATTCTGAAACCTTATTGCATAGAAATCTGTAAATGTAATATATATATATATAAAATTACAACTTCAAAACATCTTGTATTGCAGAAGTGATCTTACGAGCACTAATACCGTAGTTGTCAATTAAGACATTTGGAGGACCAGATCGTGGTACTTCAGGTACAGCGAGTTTTTTAACAATAATATTACGTTCTAAAGAAACAGCAGAAATTACTGCTTCTCCTAAGCCACCTTCAGCATAATGATCTTCAACGGTTACAATTCTACCACCGGCCTCTCTTGCATTCTTAATAATTGTTTGTGCGTCAAGAGGTTTAATAGTGAACGGATCAATCACGCGAACATGTATACCAGCCTTTGCTAACAACTCGTCTGCTGATTTTAGTGCTTCGTGGAGGGTTACTCCAGCACCGATAACAAGAACTTGATCTTCCACATTAGATCTCAATACTTTAGCTTTACCAGGAGCAAATGTTTCATCGTTTTTATACACAACAGCTGTAGCTGGACGTGAGGTACGAATGAAACAAACGCCTTTCGTATTAGCAGCCAATTGAACAGCACGTTCAGTGGATACAGCATCGCAAGGATAAAATACTGTTGATCCAGGTATCGTACGGAACATAGCAATATCCTCCAAACCCATTTGTGATGGTCCATCCTCACCAATGGACACACCACAATGTGAACCAACAAAGTTTACGTTCGTTTGAGAAATAGCTCCCATACGAATCTATACCATTAAAGATGAGTAATGTTAATGGATTATATAAATCAGATATTTAACAAAATATTAATAATAATAATAAAAATAATAATGCAACTTTTACCTGATCAAAGGCACGTGTAAAAAATGTAGCAAATGCAGAAACAAAAGCAACAGTTCGATCTCTGCAAGCAGCACCGATGGCAACACCAACAACGTTTTGTTCAGCTATGAAACCTTCAATGAACCTACTTGGATCTACAGTCTTTATTTTTTCAGCAAAAGTAGAATTCTTGGTGTCACCATCTAAAGCTATCACACGTGGATTATTCTTCGCTAGCTAATGAAAAGAAAAAATCACAAAACAAAACAAAATAAAATAGAAATAAAAATAAACTACAGGTGTAATTAACCCCTGATATAAATAGACCAATATAAATAGACAAACCTTGGCAAGAGCAGTACCATAAGCTAATCTAGTAGCTACTTGTTCTCCGAGTTTATAACTTGGAGGTGAGGCCAATTTAATATTTTTAATGTCTACTACGGGAGCATCGTCCACTAATGGCTTCTGAGGGTGTAATCCCAAAGGACCAGTATTTTTTAAAAGTCCGGTCAAATACTAAAAATAAAATTAAACATCTAATCAATGAAACACAAACGATTATTATCAACAAATATGTCGGTGATAAGATTCAAGATATTATACCTGGGTTATTTCATTAGCTTTAGTACCAAGTGGCTTTCCATGCCAATTCTCTAAGTCTTCAATATTGGGAAAACTCTTACCCTTAAATGTTTTAGCCAAAATGGCAGTCGGACGTCCCTTTGTATTTTGTGCTTCATGGAATGCCTAGAAACAAAATGAATTTATTCGTTTAAATATTCAAATTGTATATCGTGATGTCGTGAATTTTTTATTTGTAAATTCATTTCTATACCTTAGCAAGTTCTTCAACATCATGACCATCAACGACCAAAGCATTAAAACCAAAGGCTTCAAGTCTTTTACGATAAACTTCCATGTTATGTTGAAGCGAAGTAGGTTCACTTTGTCCCAAACGATTAATATCAAATATAGCACACAAGTTATCTAATTTATAATAAGAAGAAAAATGCAATGCTTCCCAGATAGAACCTTCTGCTGCTTCTCCATCTCCGATTAAACAGTATACTCTAAAAGAAAAAAGAATAAAATTATAAACTTTGGTTAAAGTAAATAGCTTAAAAAATTATTGGAATTTTATTATACATACCGGTAGCTAGCTTTATCAAAATTCTTTCCGACATAAGCCATGCCTGCTGCAACTGAGAGGCCTTGACCTAAAGAACCTGTTCCTACATCTATGAAATTGAGTCTCGGAGTAGGATGACCCTCCAAATCGCTGTCAAACTTACGCAAGTTCAATAACTCGCTAGCAGGAAATAGGCCAGCCTCTGCCCAAGCTATGAAGTAATGAAAAAATATTGTTGTAATTTTCTTTCATTCTATTAGATCACATTTTCAATATTTTACCTGCATAAAGAATGGGCGCAGCATGGCCTTTGCTGAGGATAAATCTATCACTACTTGGGTCACGTGGTGCAGATACTTTGTAACGCATTGTATGGAAGAATAGAACAGACATAATTTCTGCCATCGAAGAACATGATGTTGGATGTCTATAATAATAGAAATAAATATATTATTTTCCTAATTCTATTCTTCCTAAATCAAGCAAACAACTAGACAACAAATACATTCCAATTATATAAATTACATAAATAATAAGAAAGAGTAGATAAGAAAAAGTTAAAAAAAAATAGAAACTATCAAGGATCTTTATACCAAGATCGTATTTATATCTACAATCAGAAATTCTTATCAGGGTCAAAGTGCTATTTATCTCACTAGCGTGATGTGTCAGGTCAAATAAAGGACATTAATTAGAGGATTGAAAATTCACATTAGTGTACTTAACAATAATAATAGTATTAATTAAACAATATGATAAAAAATTCGTAATCTTATCATGAGCATAACGAATATGAAGTTATGCATAACCTTGATATTATAAATAAATTTATAAGTTATAATTATTACATATGTAATTATACATAGATTAATGTTTTTAGTATTCTCTTAATATTAATTATCGTATTTAATTCATACGTGTGAAAAACGACGAAACATATATATATATATATATATATAACGAACATCATGGTTGATACTAATCAACTGTTATTTAAACAAGTATTACATGTAATAAATAATATAATTATAAAATAATTAAGAACGTTCTACAATCGAAGGAATTAATATTTATCGATAATTTATTATGTTAATAAAATGACGTTCACTAAGGACGCGCGAAAAAAAAAACAAAGAAACATCGTGAACGATAATTGCAAAAAAAGAAAAACTATTAATCTACATGTAACATAAAATAAATATTATAATAATTGTAATTAAAAACAAACCCGCTTTTCGATGCCTCGGTTGCTCGTATGGAATGCAAACGAAGTTTAGTGGCTAAGTCCTTTAACTTAGTTACCTCCGTCGAAGATACCATCTTGAATTTTGGAGTGTTAACAAATTTTAACAAATGTATTCCAGAAGAAGTATTGAATAACTAAAGGCCGGTAACTGATTCGACGTGTTACATACTTCTGAATTGTAAATTTCCCCTACTATTTCACTTTCCTACCACTGATTATACATTACATTATTCGCTTACGTTAAAGTGATCGTTGAACATCCGGTTATTATATACATACCGTTACAACTATTCATGATTTTAACTTCTATATTTAGTATACATTTCAATATCGATTATATTTTATTTATTTCTTTTTTTTTATCCGTCAAAAAAAAAAAAGAAAGAAAACAGAATTTGCTAAGGTAATTCGATGACTTGCATTTTCTGTCAAGTTGACTGTAATGTGAAATTGAATTGCTTACGTTGTAAATTTGCTTTTCTCGTATTTCACAAATAAATTGCAATTCTTTTTCGATTAAACATTTATATTTTTAAATAGTCTTAATCATAGAAGACTATAACACGTGATCTTTCATTTCTACGAGCATATATATGTATTATATATAAATATTACGTAACATATATGTAGGAATACACGTGGAAGTGAAATTTCATTATTACAAAGTAGTTTTTTTTATTAAAAATTAAAAATAATAGAAAAAAAGAGTTATTTTTGTCATAAAAATAAGGTAAAATCTTTATTGATTGGAAATGTTAATTACTGTAGTATTACGTTCGTTAAATGACTCGTATATACGCGCGCGCGCGCGTGCTTATGTGTAATGTCATTGTAACTAATCTGGGAGAACACATACTAATGTAATCTAGTGGTTAAAAGTAAGCATAAAAAAACGCGTTGCATTATACTGAAGTAATGATGTAACCTATTGATACTGGAGACAAATACATAAATATAATTTAGGCTATAAAAAACTATTTTGATCTCGGTGGTCTCGAAGATAAAACAAAATTATAAATGTAACAATAAATATTCCGAGACTTACTGAATCGAATAAAAATTAAATGAAATTTATAGAAATAAAATATTTATTGAATAAAAATTGTTTATCGTATAACAAAAAAAAAAGAAATTGTAATAGAGATACCAAAAGAAAAGAAAGTGTGCATGCGTGTTTGCAATAATGCCGCTAGTATGAAAAAGTTTCTATCTTTGTGACCAAAAAAAAAAATAAAATAACAGAAATTGTCTATTCCCAAGAAAATCAAACAATTCGTGATCCTGGAATTCAATGTTACTAGAATTAATTTCAATTATCGACGATATCTGTAAATATGGCAGAAATTTCGCTTATCATACGCATTGTCGTACGATTTCAAAGATGGATGCGCAAACAATTACTCGTATTTGTTACAAGGTGATGTTGGTTCATTTCAATCATTTCTATCGCCCGTCACTTTTAATTCAGAATTGATTTTTTTTTAACGAGCGAAGGTCGTTTTAACGACGGCATTACATTGCTAAGAGGAATAATTTTTTGTCACGATTTTTCACGATGACTCTGTACCTTTTAGGCGCGAATTTCCAAAATTTCAAGCATACCATGGATCGTCGATGAAAAAAATTAAAAAAAAAAGAAAATGTTAACATAATCAATAATAAATAATTATTGCGTTTTATAAATAATTCTTCGTTAAAATTCATATTATCAGGTATAAAAAATCCTTACCCAGACTTGCTAGCTTGTGTGGCCTCGATGGAATGAATCCTCAATTTATTAGCGATGTCTTTTAATTCTTGAATAGTTTTAGATTCCGGTTTATGATAACTCGCCATTTTTTCCAATTGTTATATATTATTTCTCGTTAAAAGAAATTCTAATTATTTCGTAATTAATGGAAAAAAAGAAGATTGGTTAAACACGATGTGTGCAACAAGTAGAGACCGCGCAAGCACGAGGAAGTAATAAAACCGTGAACAAAGATAAGAACTCGAACTGTCGTAATATATATCGAAACTTTCGAGTTCGCAAATAGATAGCGTCGCGAACGCATTGTCAAATGCATCATGGCGGCAATAAGGCGGATTTACATAAATATTTATTCAATAACAAAAACTATTATTTTTCTTTGATATTACAATGATTGTTTAGAAAAAAAGAACATATTTATGAATAAATTATGTAATTTAATATTTTTTTTTGACACATCGATGCATCTCAAATGCAAAACCACGTGTTGCATATTTGTTTTCTTTTCCTATCGCCAATCTTCTTATTTCCTGTCTACATTATTATTTTTTATACTTTTTATAATTAATCGTATATTTAAAAATATACAGAGAAATCATTAAAAAAAAATTAAAATAATGATAAAAGAGATATAATAGAATAGAAGAGAAACATAGGAACAATTTACATTATAAGATGCAATTTTATTATCTAAAAGAAAAGTTTAACAATAGTTAGTTATATATTGGCTAGAGAGTTAATGTGTACACACATATGGATATAAAGAAATATAAATATATTCTTTTAAAATAAATGTAACAAGATAAATAATAGGAAGATTGTCAAATTTGTTTGTATTAAACGTAGAGTGAACGCGGGTTTTTTAGCGAGGTGCGCCTGTCAAGAAGCAGCAATAGTCGCCAGTAGTCGGCAGCATTCACGAATGGTTGACCTGTACAGTTGACTGTGCTGGTTGACCGATCGTGCGATAAAAATCGCGCATTTCTCTCGTTACACGGATTGCAAACATTTATTCTAACTCGATTATTAAAATACATCTGTCATATAAGAAGTTGATAATATAAATGAAGGTGACGAATAGAATCGTTGATGGGCCAGGCATCATATCGGCCAGGTGAGAGAGTGAGAGAGTGAGAGAGCGAACGAGAGAGAGAGGGAGAGAGAGAGAGAGAGAGACAGGTGGATGGATTGAAGAAAATCGCCAGTCGAAATACAATCTAGGGTAAGGGAGTAGCAACCTCTTGGGGCCAGGGCCAGTCACGTGACCCCGTGTGTTTACCAAAATGGTGAACACTCGTCGTTCGTAAATTTGTATTTTGCTCTGTTATTTGGTTGTCATTTTATCTCCAATTAAAATGACGTTTGTTAAATCTAACGAGAATAAGCCTAAATTCGAGTGATATCGTTCGTTTCTACATTCAACTTCACAGCTGCCGTTAATTTAACTTTCGATGTCTCTTGACACATAGATTTTCTTACCTTGTGTACTCGGTGGTGGTTTGGTAACGAGCAGTCGACGAGTCGTGAGCGAAAGTTTGAAAGTGAACGAAAGAAACTTGCTGCTATTGTTTCTCCGTGTATTAACAAAGCCAAAACTCGTTTCGTGTACTCCGTACTACTACCTGAAAATGATTTTAATTATTAATGCTGATGACAACATTCTCCTGCAACACGGTAAAATGGCTGTCTTATTTATTTTATTCTCCCTCACTTAATGAATGTTTTTATTTTTAACATTACATTGATAACCTTATTTCTTTTTTTAATAAATTTCTTTTATTCTTTACTCGTATATATTATATAATCTTAACCAATAGAAATACGTGTGTATGTAACTGTTAGTCGTGTTCTTTGTTGTTGTTTTTCTTTCTCTTTAATCTTTTTACTGTGACAAAAGAAATGATTTATTTTTCTCTAGGTGGTGACTGAAGTCTCAAGCGGCCTAATTCGCTTTACCAATAATGTTTAATGTGATGTGCGATAGGTAAATATATTTTTTCAATTTATTAATTGGAATATGATAATTTATGAAAGTGGCAATATCATTTGGATTAATTCATGGTTTTATTTACAGATGATCTCTGATATAGGTTAGTGCAAATGGAAAGTACATTAAAAAACGTCTAAATGACACAAAGTGTCTTAGCATAGCGCTGTGTGCTACGGCCAAGCATTGCTAAACATGGCCACGTATCAAGTTGACTATCAGTGGTTAGTTTTCTTCACATGCATTTACAAATCTTACTTTATTAATGGATGTATTTTGATTATATTTATGTTTCTTAGGGCTTACTCTATAATGGATTCATCTAGGATATCCACTTTCCTAATTTCAATTCTGCTGATAGTCTATGGCAGTTTCCGATCCTTAAACATGGAACAGGAAGCAAAAGAAAGAGAAAAAGAAAAAGAACGTAATGGGATGTCGGGTACTAGTGGTACTGGAAACACAGGTGATGCTAACGGAGGAAGAATTCAAACCTTAGATACGATGCATGCTCTCTGTCTACCTCTTGGTGCTTCCATTTCTCTACTCGTCATGTTTTTCTTTTTTGATAGTATGCAAATGCTTTTAGCAATATGTACAGCAAGTAAGTTTACCTATTGTTGTTATCATTAAAAACATTTTATTATTGGTTGATAGAACAATAACACAAAAAATATATTTCATTATATTTCTAGTTATAGCTACAGTTGCTTTGGCATTTCTTCTACTACCCATGTGTCAATATATAATTAGACCTTGCACAGACGGCAACAAAATTTCCTTTGGTATTTGTGGAAGATTTACAGGAGCAGAATTGCTTTCATTTTCACTCAGTGTGAGCATAGTATGTATATGGGTATTGACAGGACACTGGTTGCTCATGGATGCAATGGGCATGGGCCTTTGTGTAGCCTTCATCGCATTTGTTCGATTACCAAGTTTAAAAGTATCTACTTTGCTATTAACCGGACTTTTGATTTACGATGTATTCTGGGTCTTCTTTTCGTCCTATATATTTAGTGCAAACGTAATGGTTAAGGTAAGTCATTTAAATTATTCCCTTATTGTAATAATCATAGAATTCTAAATTTTTCAAACGTTGTCTTTAAAGAGACATGATTTTAGATGTTATTACATTTCGTAGGTAGCAACTAGACCTGCTGATAATCCAGTAAGTCTTGTCGCCAAAAGATTGCACTTAGGTGGTGTAGCCAGGGAAGCTCCAAAACTTCCTCTACCAGGAAAGCTGATGTTTCCTTCGATGCATCAAGCTGGACATTTTTCGATGCTGGGTCTTGGTGATATCGTTATGCCAGGGCTTTTACTCTGCTTCGTGTTAAGATATGATGCATATAAAAAGAGTCAGCTCTTGCCTGGTGGTTGTGAAACAGGAGTTCCACCCCCACGACACTTTAACCGTATTAGTTATTTCCATTGCTCCTTGATTGGCTATTTTCTTGGTTTACTCACTGCTACTGTAAGCTCTGAGGTGTTCAAAGCTGCACAGCCTGCCTTATTATACCTTGTGCCCTTTACTCTTCTGCCACTACTGACGATGGCTTATCTAAAGGTATATTCTAAGCAGATTATTTTTATTTGTTTGTTATCGTTTATATTTACGTAAATATACTTTAGAATTGGATTATAATTTTTTAGGGAGATTTACGTCGAATGTGGAGCGAACCATTCATATCTCAACAACCTTCTATATACATGGAAGTTTGACAAGAGTCATGGCTCTTGAGAAATAATTACACAAGATTCATTGTCATTGAAAATTTAGAGTTCTGGTCTTTATCGATATCATTTTAAGTAAGTAAGATTTTCCATACATGACACATTCACGGTTTTTTAATATTCATTAATTCATGAGAAAAGCTGACTACATGTTCGACAATTAACCAGAACATTAATATAGTGCACCTACAAATTTATCTTACATAGAATTAATTTTCATGGACAAAAATGTAACGTTAAGAGTGGAGTACCAAGTTATGCACACAAGTTGTTTTTCCTTTTTTTCGTTTTTGTCTCTTTCTTATCTTTGTCTTTTTTTATACATTTTTTTTATACATTAAAATAAGGCAAAGAAATATTGTTCTTTTTAAAATATGTATTTCTCGAAATACCAGCCAATACTCGTATTTTGTCAGCATTCTTTATATGTATTTTAAAGTTGTTGGTGTCAAGTATGAGTAGACTACGTGTGGTAGATTAAATTGACAGTAATTAATAAATATTCGAAAATTTCTTAGATATGCTAAACTATAAATGTTATTAATTGGAAAAATGATTTTTATTTGTTTTATATTTCTAATTTTATCGATGTTATTATTATAATTATTTTTGTTCTTTTTAATTTTTACGAGAATGTATGTGCAAATTGAAAACATTGAAAACATTTTTGTGGAAATATAAAATAAGAAATATTTATTAGTCACTCCACTCTATTATATTGATGCTTCTTAAGCTGCAAAAATTATTACTTAAAACAATTTTATATTTTATTTAATATTTATGGAGTATCAGATGAATAATTGTACGTAACGTTGAGTTACGATTGAACTATTATATTATATTTTGTTGAGAAAATTTTGATCAAAAAATTCAGTAAATATATGTATGAGTAGGTTGTGACTTTTATTTGAGATATTAGGTTAGTAATATAGGGGGGAAAAAGCAATGTTTATGTAAATATATCATTTTCATAATTTAAAAGAAAAAAAAAGGAAAAAGAAGAAGAAATACAACAAACAGAAAACTCAGAGTTCCAGTTCGCTTTGGCATTGTGAATAAGCTTGAATTATAGAATTTTCTTTCTTGTTCGTTGAATGATACAGAAATTAATGAAAAAAAAGGTTAATTTCATTTAAAACATTAATCATAATACAAAAAAAAAAGAAAAATAACATGATTAATAAGACGAACTGTATATTTGGGTTTTTATTCCGAAGTATACCCAATTTTAAAGAAAAAAAAAATGAATTCTTTGAAAGATAGCTTCCTAAGCTCTTGCTATGGATAGGATACTTGAAAGACTTTATATATGTTTATTTAAAGACAAGACTGAAAATAATGTGTATAAAAAAAATCAATTTATCGAGAGATTTTTGAAGAAAAAAAATTTTCTTTCAAACTTTTTTTGTCCGCATCAACAATTTATAAGATAGTAGATTGACATAGTGTAATGCTATAATAAAATACATAATATTACATTAATGCAGTATAATACGATATAGTATAAAATAGTATAATATAATACACGGTATGCTATGACACAATATAATAAACAGATCAAATCATTCGCGATTTCATACAGATTAAATAATCAGTGTTTATCAATTGAACTTACATTACGTAAAACAAATGTATATGACATTAACAATTTTATCTTATATTTCTTTAACCAGTTAAGCGTGTTTGACGACTATATCCGTCATGGAGATGTGGCCAAATTTTGTGTTATGACGTCTATATCCGTCATGCGTATAAGTTTCTTACAATTTGATGTTTAAATTGTAATTTTAGTAGCGAAAACTAAATTATATTCGTAAATTTTAATATGTTTAAAATGTTTAGAGGTAAAAAAAAACAAAAGTCAAGAATAAATTTTTAACTTCTATTAAATATTCGATTTTTTTCTCTAATTTTACCGTTTATTATGTATAAATATATGTTCGTATTAAGAAACTGTTTGTACATTACTAACAAAATTGTGCATTTTCTAAAATAAAGTCGTCCTTTTAACTATCCAATATTTTAACAGCGCCACTTACTCTGTGTTTGACGACTATATCCGTCATCGCTTGTGTATCGCGACACACACCAGAGCGCACTACTCTGTGCACAGATCGCCACACTTAACTGGTTACTGGTTAAAACATATATATATATATATATATATATGTATATGTTATTATATATTGTAACAAATGTTGAAAGATTTATTTGTATATCATGATTTTTAGAATTTAATTTTACGTTTTTGAAATAAGTATATACTTTTAGAGGAAGATTGTTATAAAATGCGTTCAAATCAATCGTGTTAATTAAACATACATATAATATGCGTCGTTGCAAGGATCTTCTTGACAGACAATTAATTGCGAATATCGAAGAACCTTTTTAAACGTAGGTTTTTTATTATTATTATTATTATTATTATTATTATTATTATTATTATTATTATTATTATTCGTGCACTTTTGCGTACGATATATCTGCAATATATTGATATAACGAAATATATCGACATCGTATCGTTCGGCACGCTTTCTTCTGAACGCACCTTTATATTTTTTAAACAGTACTTCCTTACGTTCGTAAAAAAAGAAAAGAAAAGTAACAGTGGCAGTAAGCGATAAATTATTTTGTACAGAGCAACGTAAACCAAAAAAAAGTATTTCATTTTCTTCCTCATATGATTATTATTGCATATGTGGTTTTTAAAATAATAAAAAAAAGAAAGAAAGAAGAAGAAGGATGGAAGAGGAGGAAAATAAAAATACGATTCGCGTTATTTATTTATGCAAATAAAATAATTAGAAGAAAAAGAAGAAGGAGAAGATACGTTTTAAAAATAGTCTCGCGATGCGAATAAAAAAAAAAGTGAAGAAGAAAAACAAAAAAACAGAAAGCATTGAAGAACAATTATCGAGATATTAATCGTGAAGAATTATAATTTCAGTTTAACGATAAATAATATACATATTAATATGTATTAGAAATGAAATAACTCTTATTCTCAATCTGCTTCTTTGATGGTGTTTTTAGCGATAGATCCAAAGTGTCTAGTTGTGAAAATATTTTTAATTAAATACACTTTTTGGTACATAAATTATATATATATATATATATTATATATATATAATAATGTATATATATATATATATATATAT